GATTTTACGACACGTGTAATTATTATGTAAAAATAGGGGCAATTTCGTATAGTATTAATGTATCACACAATAATTTATTAAGTAACATAGTGAATTTTGTTGTGTTAAATAGTAATATAATAAATTGTTGTTTATATTGCTGGGATAAATAGTAATTGTAGCACCCTCAATGATTTAATAGAAAGTTTAGAAAACATGGACTTTATTAAAAACTTTTGGAACAAATTTGAACTTTTGAGAAAACCACTTTAAAATTATTAAAACCATTTCCCTTTACTTCCAATTTAACCCACAATCGTAAAATGATATTTTTCATAGAGGGTGTACCATAACGTGTACGGGATTTTGAAAATAATCTCGATGTGGCGGAAGAGTCCACATAAAACATCACCGGGGTTTAGAAAACATTCGTAAGACAGCGGAAGGAAATAAACTTTATTTAAGATACCCCCGTTTAATAGACTGGGTTCCCAAATCAGAGTACAAAAATTAAAAATCGATATCTTGGCTAGATATTTTGGAAATCGTTGACGTGGTAAAAATCCGGGTAAAACAGTCAAGGCATCAAGGCTAGCGATTTCCTCGAACTCCACTCCGCCGGCTTCCTAGTTGTTTCGAGAACCTGAAAAGGGAATATAAATAAAAGCATGAGCCCAACCACTGGCTCAGTAAGGACGTTGGCCTGACGAACTCACGCCTCTCTCATCGTGTCACTCACGACCTATGGGAGTCCTAAAGTCCCTGTCTATGTTTTTTTTATGTCTAAGGCTTTTACGTCATAATCGTATTATGTTATAGTATTTCATCGACGTTAATCACGACATATAATCACGCCACAAATAATTAAACATATAACTTCACATATGAGCACATAATAACAAGTCTGGTTTTGCTTTGAAAGCCATTTGAACTTCACTTTGAAAATCATGTGGGGATTCGTTTTCCTTTAGAAATCATCTTGGAACTCGTCTTGGACAAAATATCCCTTTCAACGAAGTTCCCTTTTTTTTCGAACGAAAGCCCCCTTTTAAACCTCTTTTTAAAACCATTTTTCTTTCAAAATCTTTCGTATGCAAGTATGCACATGTTGGGATCCCCATCAAAACCCTAACGTAAGCATCGGCAATAGACGTTTATATGCTGAGCCCGGTCATTCGGTGGGAGCTAACCACCCTATAGTTCTATAGTAACTGTTGTTGGGATACCGGCCCCCCGTATCCCGTGTCTATTCAACCGTAGCAACGTTACAATTTTGACCTTTCTATAGTAGACCATGCAACACCAATTAATGACTCGATGAATGCACGCAAGTCAAAGATCTTAATAGCAACACGATAATAATTCCAATTATATCATTCACATAATTCGAAGGAATTAAATCACATAATTCGGAAGTAATTTCCGAGGATATAGTAAGCACATATAGATCAAACATTAGTAATAAAGACACATATACTTGTACACGTATATACACATAGGTACTTATACGTATATATATACTTACACTTATACGTATATACTCTAATTTATAACTATGGATTATAAGTTTCCTCAACCCGAAGGGAGTACGCCTATAACATCATAGGTCTAAACTATCGATATACATATAAATATACTTATACATATACATACTTATACCGCACAAGTAAATCACATAATTCAAATACACATAATGAAATTCAACGCTTCTTATTTAAAGAATCAGCGGGAAATTCATTATAAGTACTAGCACATAGTCAGTTCAAAGAACAACTTATTATTCTAATCATAGATTAGTCTAAGAATATTTCTTAGATGTAGCTCAATACTCATGGGAAACTTCATCTATGTTCAACTATTATGTTAAGTTATGCCTCATGAGTTTAAACCATGCTCACAAACGACCCTTTACTTCAAGTAGTTAACTAAAAAGAAAATCGGACAGTTTTGACACTTTAACTTCAAAAATACATTTCTCTTAGACCATAACCTCAACAATTCTGAAACTTTGACACAATACTTCTACAGGAGTGGCAAAGACCTCTTTAAAACAGTTTTCCAAAATAATCAGTAGACTAAGAGAAATGAGTAAAACAGTGCAGTAGTGTGGTCACACTTTCAGAAACAGAACCAACCACTTTAAAAATACCCAATAAATCACCCTTTTGTTAAAACACTGTAAAACTTTGCAGAAAACTAGTTTTATAGGTTATAAATGTATTCCAAGTAGAATCAAGGAAATCAAACTAGGAAAACATCGATTTTAAAAGCAGATTCTCAGCTGACTCAAAAACTGTACAGGTTTAGTAAATAATTCATATCTTAATCATCTGAAATCCGTTTGATGATTAAAATATATCAAATTAAAGATAACAGAAAGATCTAGTTACCCATAAACTTTCGTGATTTTAGGAAAACAGGGCATCTGTGAAACATGCAGTAAACTCCGAGACTGAAAACCTGAAAATTCATTAGTGATCTATATCTATATCTTTAATCAAAACAGATCTGGCAGTTTAGGCACTATAACTTCAGAAATTCATATCTCCTAAACCGTAGATCCAAACCTGATGAAATTTGGAAAACATGTTTATATCTGAGTCTAGTTTATAGAGTTAAAACAGTTTATGAAGAAACTTATCTATGTAAGAGATATAATCAATTTAGTGCAGTAACATAAGCAGAAATTCAGAACAGATCCACTAACTTTAAAAATACCAAATAATTCATCACTTAATCCAAAAATTACCAAATTTCGTAGAATATTAGTTTCATAAGTACATAATCATATTCGGGTGAAATCACTTCAATAAGAGTAGTATAAAAAGCTATTTAACACATAATTCGTGGATAACTCTGAAACTGTGCAGATTCAGAAAACGATTCATAACTCACTCAATACTAATCCAATTTATTCATAATTTATATCCACATGAAGCTAACCGAAAGATCTAGACTACCATAAAATTTCATAATTTTATCTTAGGAATTACCCGATGAGACATGCAATACAATCAGAAGCTACGAAACTGAAATTCAAGTAGTGTTCATTAAGAACTTTATCTTCTAAAGCTCAAAATTAAAACCTCAAACATAAAATTCATTAAAACACATATAATTTATTTTAATTAGGTTATTATTTCAGTAAAGACCAAGGTCCTTACCCAAGAGCAAGAAATCGAAGATGAAGGAGTAAGAAAACCAAAGGCTCGGTGGATTTTCAGCGGGTTTGGCTTGGATGTTCTTGGAGAGTTTTGGGGCTGAGTGTTGAGAGATTATATGACTATTTCTTTGAAGGTATTAGGAGAATCCCGAAATTAGGGAGAAAGAGGCATTTAGGGGTGATTTTAGAAGAGAAAAAGAGAGACTTCTATGGAGAATCTTCAAGGCTTTGAAGTGGAAGATGAACTCTTCCATTTGGGGAGTGTTTGGACGAGATAGAGGGGAGAGAATGAGGGATTTTGGCTTGTGTTTGTGTGCTGAAAATGGTGGAGAGGAAGAGGCTATTTATAGGAAAGTAGAGGGACTTACTTGCAATATAGGAAACAAGAGGGTGTAGATAGCAATTAGGAGGACTTGGACACTTGGCAATTCACCACCAAACCCAACACACTCAACTTATACACACGGCATTCTCACAAAACACAAAGCACATGCACACACAACACCTATACATATACACATCTATACATAAATAATATTAAAATAATAAAAGATAAGTGGTGTGGCATTTCCTATGCTCAAATCGAGAGACAGATATCCTATGTCATGCATGTCACATACATATACATCAAATAAATGTGCACATATAACATACATACATATACACACACATAAATAAATCCTAGCACATATAATATATTATATGATAAACGTACACATTCACATAATATGACATACATAATTAAGTCCACATCATATATTATATAATAGCATAAAATATATATGCACATATACAATCCCAATTAGCATGACTTACATAGATGGTCACTAAATTCATTAAATCACATAATTAGAATGAACTACTCAATTAATAACATGTCTACTTCTAAAAATACTATAATGTATCTAAATCACATAAACACATAGAGAAAGTATAAATCACTACTCGATTCATGAAATGCACGTATATTCGTATTTACTATATATTGAATATATTCATATATAAATGCTTATGAAAATGCGGGCTGTTACAGTAATATAATTAATATTACTGTCAAACACCGAGTATTAGTGTTTTCACATAGGCAAAAAAATGATCCGAAAAAAAAATCAAAAAAGAACAAAAAAAAGTCAACACAGCCATTGACCGCCAAACAATGGCGGCGAAAAAAAAATCGGCACCACGTACTGGTCAGCAGCGTGACGAACGAAATGTTTTCAGAAAGAAAAATGTAAGTTCGGAGACCGGCGGTCAACGACGACAACAGTCAAAATTGGGTTATTGGTCAAAATTAAATAATTGATTAAATTAGAGTTAAATAGATGAGATTGGACTATATTAAAATATAAGGGTATTTCAGTATTTTACACATCTCTGAACTTTGTATGAACTTTTTCGTAAAAAAGTTTAGTAATGGACTTAAATACGAATTAGTTGCCAATTCATTAACTTATTTCTAACAACCCCTTATATGTATAATTACAACTTACAAGTTACCACATCCACTGGCCAAAAAATGAATCAAATAAAAAAGAAGAAAAGAAAGAAACATCCACCAACACATACAAATACCAAAGTGTCAATATTTACAAGTTACTAATTGAAACATTGTTGATGATTTTTTTTTTTTTGTTTCTATGGTACAATAATACATAATCAACAAGGAGAGTTACACCACAAAAAAGGAACATTTCATGTGAATCAAGAAGCTTCTCTTTTGCACAATCTTTTATTGTCTTCAAACTCCAACAAAACAAATCAAGAAAAACAAATTGCACCACGAAAAGTGAGAAGAAACCGAGAAATAAAATTAAAACTATCCGGTAAATCTTTAATGTTCACGGGCGGCGTTGAGAAGTCATCCTCCAAGTAAGCCACCAAGAAAATCAATACCATTTCCATCTCCAAATAATAATTCTTCATAATCTTCTTCTCCACCACCACCGTCATTTACCCCTTGCACGGAGTCTGCAACGTCTCGAGCACCACCACCACCACCACCACCACCACCACCGTTAGTTACCGCGTGGAGAGAGTCTTGGCTGCTGCCTCCACCACTAGCAAAAGCATCGAAAGCAGAAATGCCACCACCACCAATAATATTGCCACTGTTGTTGAGGGCGGATATCCATTCAATCACAAGATGTAATCCCGTGTTATCTCCATCATAACCACCAACAAAGCCGCCCGAAAGTATTGCTTGAGCTAAGGCACCACTATTGTTAATAATCGTCTGTTGAATGGCCTGACGGGCCAATTCATTGTTCCGTCTGTTGACCTCAAAAGGAGGATCAGATGGCATGATATTCTGCTGCTGCTGCTGCATAGGTGGGAGTTGAGGAGCCGACGGAGCCACAATAGAGCACGTTGGTACCGCCTGTGGTGGCGTTGGCTCTTTAGACTGAGAGGCCGAGCGGACCGACGGGAACTTATCTCCGGCAGCACATTTGAGATGTGCATCAAATCCACAAGATTTGCACCTGTAAAGCCATTGTCGCGAACCAACGCTCAAGCATATATCACATGAAAATTTATTGACAGGATATGAGGATTCAGATGTTAGATTGAGCTTGTGCATTTTGTGCGATTCGTGCGTGACGGATAAAGGCAACATGGCACATAAGATATGCAAATCGAAGCTGCAAGGTTTGCAATGGTAGGAGAATCCCTTCCCCGTTTCGCCGCAAGCATCGCATACTAAGCGGTACGCAGGGTTGATCATGAGGGTTAAATCGTGCTTCTTGTGTAAAGGGTGGGTTATTTTCTTGCGCATTTCGAAGCAGCTCTGGTGGAGGAAATAGTCGCAATCCAAGCAAGAGTAGAGCACCCCATAGGGTTTGAGCTTGCATCCTGCACATGGAAATAAAATATTTAGGGTTTGATTGTAAACGATGAGCTTCAATGGGTGTGGGTGGCTGAAATGGCTTCTTATAATTTCTCTACGGAATTCTTCGTCCATCTCGATCTTCCCTCGATCATCTGCATATATAAACAGCCGGTGTACGATCGGAGAAGAGAAACCAATACTGGATTTAAAGCCTAACTTTGGACCCAAATTATAATTTAATTTAGATATATTGCTATTTTTTCTTGTATAAATCTTATTTGAATTACTATGCATTAGTTTTGTGCATCTAATTTGTATTGACATTTCCTATTCCACTTCTGAGTACCATCAAGAGGTACAGAAGTACTTGACTTTTAATTTGTTGAAATTGTCAAGTTTCTGATATATATATATATATATATATATATATATATATATATATTGGAGGTGAAAAAATAATTTCAATTGTTTTCCAAAGAAAATTGATGATTGGAAATTGGAATGAAGAGAATGTCTCAAAATTGGAAATTAGGGTTATACGTCCCTTGGATTCAGATATTCTATTTATTTATTTATTCACATATAATATAAAATGCATAATAATATACAAATGATAATGAAAGTACATATTTTCATAATTCGAAAAGAAAAATATAGTTTTGAAATTGAATTTTTTTATACTTCATAATCGTTGGAAAAGGTTGTTTGATAAACATATATATTGTAGTATTTTATATGAGTAAACTGCAAAAAGTACCCCTTTGTAATCTCTAAATAACGAAAACCCCCCTATGATAAATAAACTAGCAAAAATCTCCCTGTGAAATTATTTAAATAGCACACTCGGCCCATTTCTCATTTGAGTGTTGACTTCATATAAAAAGACACAAATACTCCCGGGATTTTGCAATTAATAAATTTTTATATATTTTAAATATTTTGATTATTTTATTTTTGTTATATCTTAATTATAAAGGTGCAATGGGGTCTTTAATTTATTTTTATTTTTATTATCACATAATTTTTGTATATATTTTAAATTATCACTACACAAAAGAAAACTTAAATTCCATTATTATGTATTTAAAAAAAATCTATACTTAATTTGATTAACAAATTTTTAATAATTTTTAAATTTAATTATTTACTATTTTTTAACAATATTTTAATTTCTAAACAATCAAATTAAAAGGAAAATATATATACATATAATATATATACATACAAATATATTTTTAGGAGTCAATTTCGTCAATTCACGTCCAAAACCAACTACCAGTCGCGCAACCGCGAGTGAGCCACACTTAAGTCAACCGGAGGGGGGGAGTTTGCTAGTTTATTTATCACAGGGGAGTTTTTGCTATTTAGAGATTACACAGGGGTACTTTTTGCAGTTTACTCTATTTTATATATCATTCAAATTGATATATTGAGCATCGTGCACACACACACACGCATATTATACAAGCCTGGTTGGTCCATTGGCGCAATAATTGTTGTGTCAAACCTTTTTATCTAGGGTGGCAATTTTTGTCAAGTGAATATTCGAACTGACAAATTCGTGTGAATAATTTAAAATTTTGACACTTGCAAAAAAATATCAGAATATTCGACGGGGATGTTTATGTGAGTGATACCTGATCCCATAATCACGGGAAATTCTATGCTACATCTGGTGAATATAATCAGGCATCCTAATTAATAAGATTCCCACTATGGGTTCAGTTATGGCCTAATGAGTTTTAGAAATATAATTATAAAATAAATAAAAAAGGACACATGTCAAGAAAAGAGTCACACGGTGAAAATCACCGGGTGTAGCATCGTATTCCCCCATAATTACTAATTATAGATTTTATTTTATTCTTTAAGAGAAAATTGCACATCACCCCCTAAAAAAAAATCTAATTTTCACCCTTTACCCCTTCATAATTTTAAAAAGTGATAGCCCCCTTCAAAATGTTATTCTTGATGTAATTGTCCCCGATAACAAAATTGTGATGGAGTATTGTTAAGTGTATATTTTACACTCAATGTATACTTTCTTACGAGGATTTTTGTATACTTTTATTGATTTAATGATGCTTAATGAGTGGTTTATTGTATTTTAGGTACAAATTGAAGAATTGGAAAAGTATGGGGTCAAAACTGCAATTTTGGAGAAAATATGGGCCAAAAGTGAAATAATAAAAAATATGCTGAAAATTGGCTGAAAACAGGCCCGCGCGGCCTTGCCAAAATTAGCCTATTTTTGGCACGACCGTGCCAACAGCAGAAGTTGGGCAGAAGGTTTCGGCGATTCTCGTGCGGCCGTGTGAGATTTTGACTCATTTTCGCGCGGCCGCACCAACACGCGCTGGAGACAATTTTGGACTTTTAATCACACAAGAAAACCTAAAATCATCTACCCAGTTGGGGCATCTATTTAAGAGCAAACCAAGCACGAATCAAATGGACTTTTGACACAACCTTGGAGCGAGAGGAGCGAGAGAACGAAGAATCGAAGACGGAGAATTGACAAATCTTCATCACAATTCTTCCTTTATCTATCTTTTCTTAATCTATTTCTTTTTATGTTTTTATGATGTTTTTCGTAGAGAACATGAGTAGCTAAGTTTCTAATCTAGGATTTTGTTGGAACCCTATGTGGGGATGGTGAACCCGTTTTCTTGAGATTATGCAATTATGATTTTATGATTATTTCTTCTACTTGTTATGATTGTTAGTGCATGAACTTGATCAATTTACGTGCTTTATCTGTGATTATTGGGATTGACTCGACATAGCTATTTTGATAATTAGACAGTAAGTATAAGAACCTTCGAGTAGTTCACCGGATGAGTGTGTCAATTGCATGTGGTGTCGTAGACATACAGATATCACCTTAGGTAGCCATTTACGAGACTTGTTAGTTAATGCTTTATTCATAATTTGTTTGCATAGACATATAGTGAACCGTTTATGAATAATAGACTCATAATACACGCGACAGCGGGTTATGAGTAAATTAGTGTCTCGGGTTAATAATCATGAATCATATATTTCATAATTGAGGGGTTTTGGGTGAGCAATTCTTGCATAGGGGGAAGATGAAATCCTAGGTCCGTTTTATATTGATATTTTCTCGTGTTTATTTGCTTTCATAATTAGTTTAATTGTTTAATTGATTTAATTTGACAAACTTGCGTAGGCTGGATACAAATCATAGTTGTTAGAATTTGGTACTTAGGATTAGATAATTTGAGTATTCCCTGTGGGATCGACATCCGACTCTCACGAGTCTACTTTTACTACTTGTTTGCGATACGTGCACTTGCGTGTTAGGTATTTAGCACCCAACAAGTATTCATCGGCGTTTAAGTATTTTTGTTGCCCATTGCCCCTTTATATGTTATTTTTGTTGCATATTACCCCTTAAAAACATTATATTTTTGCACATTGCCCCTTTAAAATGATTTTTGTTGCACAATTTCCACCAAAAAATATCTTTTGGGTAAACCTACGCCCCTTTATATGTTATTTTTGTTGCATATTACCCCTTAAAAACATTATATTTTTGCACATTGGCCCTTTAAAATGTTATTTTTGTTGCACAATTTTCATCAAAAAATATCTTTTGGGTAAACCTACACTTTCGTACAATAGCTTGCAAACCATACGAGAGAGGTAAACCACACTAGACTTACCATGTGTGACAAACTCCACCTAGCGACCGTTGATAAGGGGGATTCGAAACTGGGTCAATTGACAAAAGCTCACTTGCTCCAACCGCTAGACCATCCCTTGCGGGATGTTACTTTAAATACTTGATTAATAATCTAATTACATGCTAAACTTAGGTCTATATTGTTTTAAATGTATTAATTTCCTTATTTTAAAATATATGGACACAGTTTGAAAAAAAAAATCAACTTTAAAAAAAGGTGAAATAGTTTTTGAAAACTTCCCATATTTAAACATTTTCAATTTGGGCATATTACAAATAAGCCCATCAATGGGTACTTATTCATAAAGAGATCCAGACAAAAATCTCCTTTACTAATAAGTCCACACATGCTCCAGATTTTTGTAAAGGACTAAAATAACCCCCCATACTTTACTAATAAGTCCACACAGTAATATTGCTATATTAATCTCTAGCACATTACTATTAACACAACAAAACTCATTATTATTGTGTAATAAAGTAATATTACTATGTTGACCGTTCAACAAATGTAAACATAATAAAAAAAAAACCAAAAGATTTAATATTACTGTGAGTGACAGTAATATTACTATAACAACAGTAATATTACCGTCAACCACAATAATATTACAATAATAGACAGTAATATTATTACGTTACTCCGTGAATAACTCAAACAAACAAAAAATCCAAACAAAATAATAATATTGATGTGGTTGACAGCAATATTACTATAACAACAGTAATATTACCGTCAACCACAGCAATATTATTGTGTTTACAGTAATATTATAATAATAGACAGTAATATTATTACGTTACTCCGTGAATAACTCAAACAACAAAAACCCCAGAAGAATAATAATATTGATGTTGTTGACAGTAATATTATTGTGTTTACAGTTATTTTACAGTCAACGACAGTCAACGACAGTAATATAATTACGTTGACTTGTCAACAAATCAAACAAAATAAAAAAAACAATAAAAAATAAAAAATAATAATATTACATTAATTTACTGTCAACGGCAGCACAATTACATAAATGTAATGTCAACGGCAGTACAATTACGTCAATTAACTATCATTGACAGTATAATTACGTTAATTTACTGTTAGTGACAGCACAATTACGGTCAACGTTTAGCGGTGGACGTGGAAAAACAAAACAAACCAAAAAAAAAAAAACTTAAAAAAACACTAAAAAAAGTCAACGCCGGAGACCGCCGGAAACCGGCGAAAAAATCCGGAAGAAAAGAAAAAAAAAAGTCAACACCGGAATCCGGCGGCAAAAAATTTTTTTTTGAAAAAAAAAGTTTTGGGTCAAAATTGAGTAATTTGTGAAATTTGGGGTCAAATTGAGATTAAATTAAGTTAAGGATGAAATTGGAGCATAGTAAATTATGCTCCAAAAAAAAGTCAAAATTGGATTTTTGTGGTCAAAATTGGATTTTTGTGGACAAAATTGATAAATTGGGGTTACAATTAAGAATATGGTATAAATGGTTGAGGGTAATATTGGGATATACATGAATGTTTCCTTTAGTTATAATAAATATTAAAGGGATGAGCTTATTGGTGAAAGAGATATGTCCCCTAAACCTAGAATAATAAACATGCTTGGTTGAGGACTTTTGCATAAAAACCCCTTTCAATTTATCGTTGAAGTAAAAATCACATTTAAAAAATAATAATTTGAAGCCTTAGTATAATTTAATTCATTTATGTTCTATCAATTACACATTTAAAAAAATAATTAATGATGTCCTGCAACTCACATTATATTTTAAATATTTTCTCAATATATATAAAATTTATGGAAAGTTAGGACTTTTACTTCGATAAGATACGTAATATGCAAGTAAAACAATTATAAAATATTAAGTAAGAAAACAAAACATAAAGAAGAATGAAAATTCCATAGAAGTGTAAAATATCGCCATATATTGATTTTTGGCTAAAATGTCACAAGAAATTGAGGTAGCTACGGTGTATTTTGCCATGAGATATGTAATATATGGGTGGACGACCCTGCTAATTCTAAAATGTTAGGGTGCAAAATGTCAATCACTATTAATTCTGGGGTGCAAAACGCAATTCACCCGTTCAAAAATTTTGGGGTGCAAAACGCAATCTACGAGTGGAATGGCATCTATGGACTTTTACAAAGTTGCGATGGTGGCTCGAGACTCGGAGGGGCGATGCAGTTGGTGGAGCGTTGCAAAACTCATAGGTCGACCTAAGGCGGTTGAGGGTGAAGCTCGTGCCGCTCTCTATGCAATGTCGACGGCAGTGGCTAAGGGCTGGTCTTCAGTTATCATGGAAGGGGTTTCATTGCAGATTATTAATGCCTTACGAGGAAGAGGATTCCCAGACGCATCATATGGTGCTCTTCTTGATGATTGTTTTTTCCTTTTGAATTCTTTTTCTGATTGTTCGTTTTCATTTATCAAAAGACAGGGTAATTGTGTAGCCCATGCCCTTGCTCAAATGGCCGTTTTGGACCAACTTGATGGTGATGTTCTCCCGTTTGATGTGGTTATTTATGCCTAATATATGATCCTTTTCTCTCTAAAAAAAATATATATAAACAAAAAAAAATCCTATATGCATTGGTTCCAATTTTCTGATTGATTCTATCGTAATTATTTTCAACAGATTCATTGAGACAAAGTTGTAGAATTTGAATCAAACAGAAACATCAGATTTCTCAACGGAAAATAGTACATCGCATAAATCTATAATCAACAAGAAATTTACACCTTGAATAAAGATCATTTGCAAGTTAATCTTATATTGTCTTCACAATCTCTAACAAAGCTCAAGAAAAGCATCACACTAAAAAGCTGGGAAAGAAAAAAGATACACACAAAAATCCTCCAAGAATTTCAATACCATGCATTTCCGTTGCCCGGTAAAGATCGTACAGAATCGGTTCTACCACCACCACCACCACCAGTGTTGTTTACCGAGTCTTGGCCGCCAGCACCACTAGTGCCACTGTTAGTAAGTATACATATTAATTCAATCAGCAATTGCAATGCCCTCTTCTCTCCAGAACTACCACCACCAAACCCTCGGCCTCCAATATTACCGCTCCCGGAAGCCAGTATTCCCTGAGCTATGGCGTCACTATTGTTGACAATCATTTGCTGAACTGCCTGAGCTATGCCATTACTTCTGTTAACAATCATTTTCTGAACGGTCAAAAGTGCCAAATCATTCTTCTCGGATCCAAAAGAAGGCCGATGCACATTATTAGTGGCCTCTTTTGGCGTATGAGGAGAGCTGACCGACGAATCGTCTCCGGTGGGCCCCACGCATTTCAGATGGGCATCAAACCCACATGATTTACACCTATAAAGCCATTGGCGCAACCCAAGTTTCATACATATAGAACAGTTGAACTTACTTTTAGATAATTCACACGTTATAAGTTCGAGCTTGTGAATCGCGTGAGATTCGTGCGTGATGGAAAATGGCAACGTGGCGCAGAGAACGTGCAAATCGAAGCCGCAAGGTTTGCAATGGTAGGAGAATCCGTCACCTCGTTGTTGACATGCATCGCACCTGAAGAGCATTTCCCCGTACGTGGGCTTCGACGTTAGGGTTAGTGCGTGTTTCTTGTGAAAAGGGTGAATCAATTTCGTCGGCATTTCGAAGCACTTCTTGTGAAGGAAAAAGTCTTTGCAGATTGTGCACGAGTAGATCGTACCAGAGGGTTCGAGCTTGCATGCCGAACATGGTGAAGTTATTAGGTTTAGGGTTTGCTGATGATCGACGAGCTTCAATGGGTGTGGATGGCTGAAATGGCTTTGCTTGAATTCATCCATCTACTGATCTATATATATATATAACACATGCACAATTATATATACAGTTTCGGGTTTCGGGTTTCGGGGTAGGAAGAGAAGTAAAAATCAACACTGCATTTAAAGCCAAATTAAAGCTAGAAAGATAGGTGATCGGATGAGTATATATGTGCATTAATAATTTTTGAAATATTAGATAATAACACAAAACTTAAGTTAAATAATATAATAAAATATTATTACAACACTACAGCATGCAATGATCAAAACCAGATCTAAAAATTTGTAATCATGTAGTAAGGTAGTTGAATGTATCAACCCTAAATTAAGGCTTGTGTGCAATGGAATGAGACAGGTATCTGTAATTGCAGACACAAAATTAATTAATTGAGTTTAGTGGTTGTCCATTACGCGGAAAATAGGGTGAGCTTTTGGTTGGTTGCAGATTGTTTGAATAAAAATGTTTGTACTATTTTATTTTATTCTAATAATTGACTGAGGCATCGTGCCGGCACACACATATTTTATATAAAATAGAATACAAACTTTCTATTTTAGATAAGAATTAATATTTAATTAATTGAATAGTATAACAAAGTAGTGAGATCAATGATCGCGAAAAAAATCCATAAATATAAAAATTCAAGTTGCACTGGAAAGTCGAAATAAAAATTTACAATTTTTGTGTTTTGCAATTTTTGAGAATCATTTTGTAAACTACAAATTAAGTACAAATATAAAAGGGTAAATTACACCAACTGGTACGCTAAAATAATTTTAAGTTCTCTGTGATAGTGGTTATTACAATCACACCCCTGCAATTATTATTGGAGTCAAGATTTCATGTACTGAGGATCGATATGAACTATATTTGTCTCCCGCGGGGCCGTTAATGCTACCATAGACGAAAATTTATAAATCTTACATAAAATAGGACAAAATGCACTTCACCCCTATAAATTTTGCATTTTCGCACTTTCCCCCCTAAAAATTCAAAAAAGAGATGAACACACCCCACCCCACCCCCCCCCCCCACCCTCGAAATATTGTCTCGATTGCACTTTGCCCCAAAAAAATAATTTTTGGTGCGCATCGTGCAACAAAAATAACATTTTAAAGGGGCATGATGTAGAAAAATAATTTTTTTAAGGGGCAACATGCAACAAAATTAACATTTAAAGGGGCATGGTGTAGAAAAATAATTTTTTTAAGGGGCAACATGCAACAAAATTAACATTTAAAGGGGCAAAGTGCAACAAAAACACTCAATTCTATTGAATAATCCATCCGAATTTTACTATCGAGGCAATGTGCAACAAGAATAACATTTTGAAGGGTGACATTCACTTTTTAAAATTTTGAGGAGATAAAGTGCAAAAGTTAGAAATTGGGGGTGCCGCGTAATTTGGCCCTATAAAATAATAAGGATTTAAGAAATGTTAAGAGCGTCATGTCACCCCTAGCTTGTCTCCACCACTGTCTGAAACTAATAGTCTGTTAAAACCCTAACTTATCCAATGTATTATTCAGTTAGGGTTTCTAACAATGTATGATGGGGTGATTGTAATTACCGATACTACATGGACCTTAAAGTTATTTTAGCATACCTTAGGGGTGTATGTGTAATTTACCCCAAAATAAAAATACATAATCACAAAAGTAGTTTACAAGTTATTTGAAATTATATTTTCTTCCAAAGATTTCTATCAAATTAAATATTTTCAGTAATTACAATAAAAGATCCATCAATCGAATACTTTAGTGAAAAAAGTTTATTTGCTTAATTAGTAAGAGTCTATAGTTTTTTCAGTAATTCGTCGTGATATTTTTTTTTCCGCATGTTTTACTCTCGAGTAGAAGAAAATAACAAGTTAATTTGTGATTTTGCACCCTAGAAACAACCAACCAAGTACAATTTTCATTATCCTCGTTAAGTTTAAAATATTCAATTCATGGTGAATAGTGAATGATTTACTGTGTTTTGAGGGTGAAAAGTGCTAAAAAACTATATTTCCAGAGTGCAAAGCCAAGACAAGTACAACTAAATAGCATACATATTATTATTGTTATTAATTTGTTAGAGTAAATACTAAATACTAATTAGTATATACTATATGTTGTTGGGAAAATTGGTTAAAAGTTGAGTCATGAACAATTTTTGATCAATGTTATTGTATGGTCTAATTGATTATATAAATCAACATTTGGAATAGATGAGTATAATCAAACCAATTTTGTGGTGAATAAAAAATTACTAGTCCAAAATTAATATAAAGAAAGTGGGATTTTGAGTTATCCCACATTGGAAAAGTAGAGAAGTATTGAGCTATTTATATATCTCAATGTTGGAACAAAGGGTCACGCCCTGCGGGTATATACACTTTTGTTTGGGAGAAAGGCTTATATATTATGAGTTTCGAATTGTGCCCACGCACCGTCCATCCGATCGGCCGGCTTGGCTCGTTTGTATGGATCGGATTTGGATTTGGGCTTGGGCCCAAACCACCACTATATTATTTTATTGATTTGAATTGGTGCAGCCGAACCAATGCAAACCAAAAGCAGACTACACTATTTCATACTATATTTTTTTATTTTTTTTTCTTTTTTTTAAGAATTTCATATTCTCTTTCACCAACATAATATTTCACCACGTGAATCAAGATAATTCAAGATCATATATATATTATATACATACAAACTAATATGAAATTGACTCCAGCTGATTATTAAATTTCACAATCTTTTATTTTCGATCTTCAAACTCCAACCAAGAAAAGCAAATTATACTGGAAGAGTTAGATGCTACACCTGGTCATTTACACCAAGTGTATTTAAATCGTATATTTAGTTAAATAATCACGCACTAAGCACACATACACATGGGTGTGTATGATTATGTCCATTGAACTTAAATGATCAGGTGTAACTATTTAATTTCATACTGTATTGCATGCAAGGAGAAAAGAAAGAAAAAAGAAAAACACGGTGAAGATTCACACGATTGGGCAATCTTTCCAGATTCATGGATGACATAAAGAGGTCATCCTCCAAGTAAGCCACCAAGAAAACCAATACCATTTCCATCTCCAAATAATAATTCTTGATAATCTTCTTCTCCACCACCACTAACGATGTTTACACCGTTAGGTATCAACCGCATCAATCCCTGAGCCATTGTTGCATTTACTCTATTGTTAATAATCATATTTTGAATCGGGACTCCCGCCGAAAAACCAGTGTTATTGATCATAGGGGGTGGCGGCCCCCATGTTGCAGCCTCTTCTGGCTTTGTGGGCTCTATAGATTGAGACAGGGTTTGGACAGGTGGAAAAATATCTCCGGCAGCACATTTCAGATGGGCATTAAATCCACAAGATTTGCATACATACAGCCATTGGCGTGAACCAGGCTTTAGGCATATATCACATGAAAACTTATTGTTAGGATATGGTGATTTAAAAACAAGAAAAAGAGGGTGCACGTGCGAGTCATGTGCGAGGGATGACGGTAACATGGCGCAAGATATATGCAAGTCAATGCTGCAAGGTTGGCAATGGTAGGAGAATCCCTTCCCTCTTTCCTGGCAAGCATCGCATCTGAATCGCCCTTCGTCGTAGGCTGGCTTCGATAACAGGGTTAAAGCATGTGTCTTGTCAAAAGAGTGAGTTATTTTCTCAGGCAAAGAGTTGCTTCCACCACCATCCGTTAACTCTTGCGAATAGTCTTGGCCGCCACCGCCAACACCACCACCACCTTCCATTACCGCTTGCAAAGAGTCTTGGCCGGCACCAGCAGTACCATCGTCAATTTGCATCGAGTCTGTGGCGTCTCCACCACTACCACCAATACCAGTAGTGTTGTTATAAAGGGCAGCTATCCATTCAATCAGAAGATGTAATCCTCTGTTATTACCTCCAGAAATTGTGCCTGAAAGTAACGCTTGAGCTAACTCATTGCTATTGTTAATAATCATTTGGTGAATGGCCTCAAGGGCCATTTCATCTTTCTTTCTTTTGACCTCAAAAGGAGGAGGCGTCGCTCTGACGTTATTCGGCTCCTGCATAGGCGGAAGCCGAGGTGCCGATGGAGCCAACCTAGAGCACTTCGCCGCCATCGCCTCTGGTGGTGCCGCCGCCGCCTCTGGTGGTGCCGCCTTGGGCAGCTCATTCGATTGAGACGGCGGCAGGACTGACAGAGCATCTCCGGTGGTGGCACATTTCAGATGGGCATCAAATCCACAAGATTTGCACCTGTAAAGCCATTGACAGGAACCAATACTCATGCATATATCACATGAAAATTTATTGTCTAGATACGGCGATTCAGAGCTCAATTCGAGATTGTGCTTCACGTGAGAGTCGTGCGTGACGGATAAAGGCAGCATGGCGCAGAGCATATGCAGATCGAAGCTGCATTTTTTGCAATGATAGGAGAATCCATTCCCCCTTTCGCCGCAGGCATCGCATTTGAAGCGCGCATCACCATACGCGGGTTTCGTCACGAGCGCTAGAGCGTGCTTGTGAAATGGGTGCGTTAGTTTCACGGGCATTTCGAAGCAGCTCTGGTGAAGGAAATAGTCCTGGCAAATTGTGCAGGAGTAGAGCATACCCGAGGGCGAGGGCTGGAGCTTGCATGCTGAACATGGAGAAGTAGTTAGGTTTAGGGTTTCTGGATCATAAGCGATGAGCTTCAACGGGTGTCGATGGCTGAAATGGCTTATTACTCGCTGGAATTCTTGGGCCATCGATACTGGATTCAAAGCGCCTAACTTTCGAGCAAATTCGGTTTAAATTATATTGCAATATATATTTTATTGTATAAGTCTTATTTGCACTGCATTAGTTTATATCCAATTTGTAGTGAAAGTTCTTATTCGACTTCTGAGTACCGTGAAGAGGTACAGAAGCACTTGGTGCAGTTGTCACCTATATAATTAATCTTGTGACAATTCAATTTAATTTCTTTTTTGAAATTAAAGGGCTAATTGTAATTTTGTTACAAAAGAATTGCTTAAATTCGTATGATTTGGTTCACTTCCTGTAGATAACCAGGTGTATATATCATCTGACTCCTTACTAATAGCAAACGAACAACACCTTTTTGTTAGTCTTTTATGGAAAATGCGGAAACTGAAACTTATTGAACTCTAATGAAAAATACTTTTCGTAATCGAGAAAAATGATCAGATAAAAATCAACATAAATAAAAAATTCCGTTATTATTAGTTCGTTCATCCCTACTATTACAAGACAAGTGTATGTAGGTGGGGAAATTATATGCTACATCGGGTATTTGTTAACCGTACGTAGATGAGGTTAAATAACCACCCACTAAGTACACATACACATAAGTGTGTATGTGAGATTATGTGTAGATCTACGATTAACAATCATCCGATGTTAATAACTGGGTGTAGCATAGAATTTCTTGTGTAGGACCGTAGGTGGGGGTGGGAGGTTGAATGTATTAATGTTTGAATGAAAATATTGTAGTATTTTATCTCATTCAAATTGATTGATGTATCGTGCACGCACGCATAGATATAAGGTAACCATTGGCGCCATAATTGGAATATTCAACCTTTTAACTAGTGTCACAATTTTGGTCAACCGAATATTCGAAGTGATAATTTTATTTCAATAATTTAAAATTTTGACACTTGCGAAAAAATCAGAATATTCGACGTAGGATGCTTAAGTGAGTGACAAATGATAAAAGTGGACCTCGTAAAAGTGGATAAGTAGTCCACGGCTAACTGGTCACATAAGATTAGTTTAGTGTGGTTTATGTTTTATTATGTGATTCGTGACTACTGCAGTACTGGTAGGTGTGTAAACATTTAACTGTAGTTCGAGCAACTTGAGGTTCTTTGGTCAACGAAAAACGTAAACCGTAAAATACACTTACCATCCGTGAACAATGTATCAAACACTCCGATCCCTAAACTAAGGTTTGTATCATGTGAATAAGTCATTTTTGTTGGCACCGAATTGTTCTCAACAGTCAACCCTAGCAACAATCAAACCTTCAAAATTTGAAACCCTGATTTTACCCTCAATATCCGATGATGATCGATGTTGACGACGTTTTAGTGACCACGTATGTTTTATTAGTAACTAATTGGGTAAATTACACATACACCTTTGAGGTATGTTAAAATAGCTTTAAGTTCCCTGTGGTTTTGGTATTTACATCCACACCCCTCAAACAATTACTAGAGCCAAGATTTCATGTCATGTGAACCGATTTGCACTATATTTGTTTTCCGCAGGGCCGTTAATGTTACCATAGATGAAAATTTATAAATTCTTATATAAAATAATAAAGATTTAAGAAATATTGAGGGAGCCAAATCACCTCCTAGTTCTATATATGTTGTCTGCCACTTTTTGAAACTAATAATTTATTAAAATCCTGAAGGAATAACTTATCCAATACATTATTCATTTAGGGTTTTTAACAATGTTTCAGGGGTGTCATTGTAATTACATCACATAGTCCTTAAAGTTATTTTAGCATAGCTCAGGAGTATACGTCTAATTTAGCCGTAACAATTTTTTTTAACGAACCAAATAGTAATTGGTTGCAATAACTTTTAAATGGTTGCAAAAATATAGTATATACTATTTAATATGTTTTAATAACCAGTTTGCCATTGAATGTGTCATTGCCTTTTTTTTATAGATAGATATTAGTTAGTTGCCAAATATTTTGTATTTGATATATGCATATATAGTGACTAAATGGCCAACTATTAATTGCTAGTGTGTATATCAGAAACCAAATAAGGATTGAAAAAAAACTTATGTAGCTACATAAGTTTTTTTTCAATCATTATTTGGTGATGGTGTTAGTTAATTAAATATTTGTAGCTAGTTTGTCTACAAATGAGCATGTTGTATTATTGTTTTCACAAATTTCATTTAAGTCGATGGTATTTTATATATTTGGTTAGTGATTGATATGCTTCTTTTTCATTTTGAAAAGTCGTGGGATGTTTTTGTTATGTTACGTTCCGAACTTTTACAGTACTAGATCTTTTGTAACATATAAACAAATATTTTTTAATTTCAAATTTGGATTATTATTCTCTTACAGGGTGATACATCAAGGCTGAGTAACGAGAGCAGAGAGCTCAAACTCCAATTACAAGCCATGGAACAACAATTGTGTGACGGTTAGTACAATACATAACACCCAAAAAGTGGTCTTATTTTGATTATTTTTATCAATCTTCTTTAAACAGTGCATTTATTGTATATTGAGCATAAATATGTAATTTGCAAATAGCAGGTTCAATTGATAAAAAGAAACAACGAAGAGAAAGAAATGCTATCGATTGTATTATTGCGGCATTTTACGGAGTTCTTGTCCGATTATAGTTAGGTTTACAACTGACCTGACTAGTTTACCATGTATGTACTTTTTTTCTACAAATCATATTGTAAGGAAAAAATATTTGGTAAATGTTATATATTTTTATTTGTTGTTATATGTCTTTATTTGTACAGAAAATTTTAATTCAAATAGTATCTATATTTATAATATTGAATTTCTTTTATTGTTTGGTGTTGAGGGAAAACATAAATGTGTGCAGATATGCTTCACAAATTGTAGGGAATGAGTGACAACATTCAAGTTGTCACTCTAGGTTAATTTAACTAGTGATAATATTCAAGTTTTCACTCTAGATTCATTTTATTAGTGACAACATTCAAATTGTCACTCTAGGTTCATTTTATTAGTGACAAGATTCAAGTTGTCACTCTTCTTGTTTAAGTGATAACATAAATGTTGTCACTCAAATTAAAATCTAAAGTGACAATATTTTGTAAGTTATCACCAATGAGCATTAGCGACACAAAATTAGTGACAATGTAGTGACAACATTATATTGACACTAAATCTCATTTGTTACAATTTTATGATGTAATATGACAACTTGGGTTGTCACTAAAATTCATTTTTCTTGTAGTGTAGTACGTATAGGGAAACCCATGTTTCAATAATAGGGATACAGAAATTTGGAAAAAACTTGTAAATATTAGAATTATTTGCGTATATTTATAAATATGTTGAACGAACATATACAAGTTTTTTGTTTATACACAAATTCTTTTTATATATTTTCATAATGATATATATATATATATATATATATATATATATATATATATATATATATATATATATAAATGTTATAATTATTAACTATCAATTGATAATTGATCATTAAATAGAAAAATTATAGTTTTCACCCCAAAAGTTTGCATCAACTACATACTTGATCACCTATGTTCATAAGGGCAAATTACGATCACCCTGAGGTAATGTTAAATTATGAAAAAAATCCCTCTTATTTGTGTAATTACAGCCACCCCTCAACTATGTATTTTCTTGCACGTTCACCCTTATGTTGTCAAATTTACATAGGGGCGTTCATCCGTTGGTAAACCGATCGAATCGAACCGAACGTAAAATTCGGTACATGTCGATTACTGAACAGGTAATTCGGTTCCACATTCAATTTCATATATATATATATATATATATATATATATATATGTGTGTGTGTGTGTGTGTGTGTGTGAAATATTAATATTTAAACTAAATTAATTTAAAAAAAAAATTAAAAAATACAAAATTTTTAAATATTTGTAATTAAATTTCGATAATTCGGTTATTTACCGAACCGTACGATAAACGGTATGAAAAGTTGGCAATACCGAAATTTCGATACGATTTTACGGAATGAAAACCTCAATATTTAACAACTAATTAAGAGGGGTTTTTCGTAAGACAATACATAATTGAGGGGGTGGCTGTAATTATACGGCTTTAATTATGCAAACACGAGAGGTTTTTTCGTAATTTGACCTTACATTATGGAGTGGCTGTAATTTTGCCCATATTATTAATTCTAAAATATTAGATAATAACCCAAAAAAATAGTTGAATGATAAAAGTATTATCACAACATGCAATTCACCAAACCAGCTCTAAGAATTCGGAATCATGCTATTAGTTTAATCTATCAACCTAACGAAGCCTTGTGTAATTAATTGCATGAAATTGGTTGAGTTTATAAGTGGCTCTCCATTACGAGCTAGGAAAATGGGGTAAACGTATTGTTTGGTTTTAGATGGTTTGAATTTTGAACTTAGAATAAATTATCGTATTTATAATTATCTTATTTGAATTGATTGAGGCATCGTGCGCGCACGCGCACACACATTATATTTTGTTAGATGTCTATGAGAAGAATCAATATCGGTCTCCGAAGCAAAAGCTTTTTGTGTGGGTGACTATTAGTTTTTTTTGGATATTTGGATGTTACATCGGGTTGTCTACATTGAGTGGATTTTAATCGTATATCTATATATAATTATACACAATCATATGTATATGTGTTTAATGGATGATTATTTAATGAAATCTACAGTTGAAATCCACCTGATGTAAATAATCAGGTGTAACATCTAACTCCATTTTTTTTTATTAGGGCTTATACTTGTCCCAATTTTCTTTTACACTTAGACCTCGTTTGGTTCGGGAGATTAACTATAATTAACTAAATGATAGACTTTGTTTGATGTTTGGGTATCCCCAGTAACTTATCCCGCAAATATTATATTATCATTGGTTATCTTGTCTTCTAGGTATGTTTTCTTAATGGATCATTGAGGTCCAATAATATAACTATGTTTTATTAGATTATTTAATCTTATTTTGGCAACCACACCCCTGAGATATACTAAAATAACTTTAAGGTCAATGTGGTATCTTTAATTACACCCACCCCTGAAACATAGTTAGAAACTCTTATGGGATAATGCAATGGGTACGTTATTTCGATAGAGTTATAACAGACAATTAGTTTCAAGAAGTGGTGGAGACAACAAAGAACTATGGGTGATTTAAGAAATGTTGGGGGAACCATGTCACCCTCTAACTATATGTTGTCTCCGCCACTAACTAAAAGTAATAGTCCTTTTGATATCTATCTCTATAACGTATCCAATGCATTATCCCATAAAGTTTCTGACTACGCTTCTGGGGGGTTAGTGTAATAATTCATACCAAATGGATCTTAAAGTTATTTCAGCATACTTATGAATGTGGGTGTAATTTACACTATTGTTTTTTAGAGTAAGTAGTATATAGGACAAAATGCACTTCACCCCCTATAAATTTTGAATTTTTGCACTTTTCCCCTAAAAAAATCAAAAACCAGATAACCCCCATCGAAATATTGTTTCGATTGCACTTTGCCCCAATATAAAAAATAAATTTTGGTGGGTATCGTGCAACAAAATTAACATTTTAAAGGGGCAATGTGTAGAAAAATAATGTTTGTAGGGGGCAATGTGCAACAAAAGTTAACATTTAAAGGGACAAAGTTCAACAAAAGCACTCAATTCCGGTGAATAATCCATCCGAATTTTGTTATCGGGGCAATGTGCAACAAGAATAACATTTTGAAGCGGACATTCACTTTTTTAAATTGTGAGGGAGTAAAGTGCAAAAGTTAGAAATTTATAGGGGGTGATGTGCAATTTGCCCTAGTATATATTATGTTTGATAGAAACTCCGGACTACGCTATTTGATATTTTCTTTTACCAAAATAATATCAGTCACTTTTGAGAATTTTTTTCCTCCATATTATCTCAGTTTAAATTTTCAACACTGCATTGATTATTTAAGTTCTCGTTTATATCCTTGTTAATTTTTTCTAATACCCCTTTTTAATTCATTTCTCTTTTTCTTATTAATTATAAGATAAAGTCATTTTCGCCTAAAGCATACATTTTTTATAAAATGAAGACACAGTTCATGAAATCCTTAATCCGTGCGCAAAGCTAAAAACGAGTATTAAAAGGGAAAGGAAGAAGTATTTCACCATCTTCATAGATTAAATTGAAAAACACTGTGGAATTTGAATCAACCAGATATATCAGGCATCCACTGTCCACTGATCAAGATCGTGTATATATATATATATATAATCAACAAACAACAAAGAATTTATACCAGGAATAGATATCTGAATCAAGAAAAGCAAATTATTTAATTTGCATCTAATTAGGAAGGAGGTAAAAAAATCACATGGAAATTGAGAAGTCATCATCCAAGAAAGCCACTAAGAAAATCAGTATCATTTCCATCTCCCAATAGTAATTGTTGATAATCTTCTTCTCCATCACCACCACCGCTAACACCGTGAGCCATTTCTGCTTCTTGTGGCCGCTTCATCGGCTCGTTTGACCGCGACTGGTTGTGGACGCGTGGAACAATATCTCCGGCCGCACAGTTGAGATGGGCATTAAATCCACAAGGTTTGCACCTATAAAGCCACTGTTTTGAACCACGCCTCATGCATACATCACATGGAAACTTATTGTTAGAATATGGTGATTCAAAAATAAGATATAAAGTGTGCACGTGCGAGTCATGTGTGACGGATAACGGTAACATGGCGCAAGATACATGCAAATCAATGCCGCAAAGTCGGCAATGGTATGAGTAGCCATATCCACTCTCTCTGCAAGCATCGCATCGGAATCGTGCTTTGCCATAGGCGGGCTTCGCTAAGAGGGTTAAAGCGTGTCTTTTGTCAATAGGGTGAGTTAATTTCTTAGGCAAGGAACCACCACCCCTATCCCGTGTTACCGCCTGCGAATATTCTCGACCACCACCGTCACCGGCCATTACTGTTGGCAAAGAATCTTGACCGCCGCCAACGCCGCAGCTAGTGCCACTATCGTTAAGGGCAGATATCAGTTCAAGCAACATATGAAATCCTCTGTTTTCTCCGGAACCGCCGCTGCCTTCAGAAAGTATCGCCTGAGCTATGACCTTACTGTTTTTGATAATCATTTGCTGCACAGCCTCGATGTTACGACACTCTCTAGAAGACTGAGACGGCAGTCGGCGAACCACCGGAAAATCTCCAACCGCGGCCGCACACTTGAGATGGGCATCAAATCGACAAGATCCGCATCTATAAAGCCACTGACGCGAACCAATTCTCCTGCATATATCACACGTAAACTTACTCTCAGCGTACGGTGATTCAAAAGTAAGAACCAGCTTGTGCGTCCCGTGAGAGGCGTTCGTGACCAACAATGGCATAGTTGCGCACGACATATGCAAATTGATGCCGCAGGGTTTGCAACTGTAGGAGAAACCCTTCCCTCTTTCGCCGCAGGCATCGCATCTGAAGCGCGGATCCCCGTACGCAGGTTCCGTGATTAGTGCTAAAGCGTGTTGCTTGTGAAAAGGGTGGGTTATTCTTTCGGGCATTTCGAAACAGCTCTTGTGGAGGAAATAGTCTTTGCAAATTTGGCAGCAGTAGATTGTTCCAGAAATATTGAGATTGCATGCCGAACATGGAAGATGTAATTTTACGGTTTGTTTGCAGACGATGAGATTCATTGGGTGCGGGTGGCTGAAATGGCTCGCTGTGTTTTCCATTTCTTTTTCTTGCAGTACTCTCAAACAGATTGATCAGCCAACTTCAGAGTTGGGACTTACTTGAAGAGGATCAATGGGTTAATTAATCATACATACCTCCCCTAAGGTTATGTCAAATTACACCTAGACCCCTCAAGTCTGGAAAATTACACACACCTCCCTTGAGGTTTCTCTCATCCACAAGCCAATCCTCTAAGAGCAACACTAACGCTAGACATAAAAATTGAGTTATCAACAGCTAAATGAGGTAATTTTTTTTTTATTGTAATCAAACCTCAAGGGGGTAAATATGTAATTCTTTTAAACCTAAGAGGGTGTATGTGACCTTGAAATGGCTGATTGAAGTTTGATCAGAATATAAAGAATGGTTTACATGTAAACCATGATCATATACAATACAATTAAGTTGGTCATGATAAATTATGTCCCACTTGGTTATAGTAAATGACAATTTATCTCCCCACATAAGCTTGGCAAGTAGTGCACTCTAGGAAGTGGTCAGTTTAATCGATTTTCATGCAATTATATATTTGAAGTGACTCACCACTAATTCATACTTTTTTCTAATCTACAATAATTGTCCCAGCCGAAAAACATTATTATTTCATATTATCCGTCACTTTATATTCTCAATACTGCAATTAAATATATATTTTTTTGCTTTAACTTTATTAATTTAACTTTAATAATAAATCAGTAAATGATAAAGGTTATTTTAGTTATATTATGTCACATTTATTGAGTTTCTTAATATTTGTGCAAATAGTTAATTATTTAGGAACTGAAGAAGTGTATAATACTATGATCATTGATTGAAAATACTGACAATTTATGGGTAAATACTATAAAAAATCCCATGTGTTAAAGAAAATCCGTACCAAACCCTCTTGTATTCCTTTTATTGCATAAAATTGCCCTGTGTTTTATTTTTGTTTGCATGCAATTCCATTTCCATAAATTGTTAACACCTACAGAGGAGCGTTTTTTTTTTTTTTTTTCTTTTTTGTCATATGGAGATTATGCAAAATTAATTTATTCATTTAAAATAGCTAGTTACTGTTGAGTGTAGATATTACACTCAATATGTTGACTTTACGTGGATCTTTTGTTTAGATTTAATTATATTTATGCTTTAATTGATTGATTTTTGTGTTTTATAGTTGAAAAACGAGAATTATGTGTCCATGAAGGAAAAAAGATCAAAAAGAAAGGAAAAAGTTGCAAATAAGGAAACAAATCAAATTGGAAGAAGGAATCCCGCCACAGCTTTGACAGTGTCCACCATTTCGAGCATATCTCTCTCATACGAACTCCGAATTAGGTGATTTTGACGGCATTGGAAAGCTAATTTCAAGTGCTACAATTCGTATTTACACAACATTCTAAAATTCGGACTCCAACATGGCACAAATCGACGAACAAATCCTGATGGGGGAAAGTGGCGGAAATTGATTCCTATTACGTTTCCACTACTTCCTTATCAAGAAAAGCCTATAAAAGCAACAAGTCTCTACACCATAAGCACGAAATTTTACACGACAAAAACACGAAGAACGAAGATCAACGAAGACTCAAGCATAGTTTTCTTATTTATTTTATTTATTCTATTTTGTTTATCATAAGAATTACGAGTAGCTAAGTTTTTAATCTAGGATTTTGTTGGAACCCTATGTGGGGATGGTGAACCCGTTTTCTTGAGATTATGCAATTATGATTTTATGATTATTTCTTCTACTTGTTATGATTGTTAGTGCATGAACTTGATCAATTTATGTGCTTTATCTGTGATTATTGGGATTGACTCGACAGAGCTATTTTGATAATTAGACGGTAAGTATAAGAACCTTCGAGTAGTTTTCACCGGATGAGTGTGTCAATTGCATGTGGTGTCGTAGACATACAGATATCACCTTAGGTAGCCATTTACGAGACTTGTTAGTTAATGCTTTATTTATAATTGGTTTGCATAGACATATAGTGAACCGTTTATGAATCATAGACTCATATTACACGCGACAGCGGGTTGTGAGTAAATTAGTGTCTCGAGTTAATAATCATGAATCATATATTTCATAATTGAGGGGTTTTGGGTGAGCAATTCTTGCATAGGGGGAAGATAAAATCCTAGGTCCGTTTTTATTGATATCTTCTCGTGTTTATTTTCTTTCTTAATTAGTTTAATTGTTTAATAGATTTAATTTGACAAACTTGCGTAGGCTGGATAAAAATCATAGTTGTTAGAATTTGGTACTTAGGATTAGATAATTTGAGTATTCCCTGTGGGATCGACATCCGACTCTCACGAGTCCACTTTTACTACTTGTTTGCGATACGTGCACTTGCGTGTTAGGTATTTAGCCCCAACAAGTTTTTGGCGCCGTTGCCGGGGAATACGGCTAAATTATCTATTTATTCTAATATCAAATTTGAGCAATTTTTCTTACTTCAGCCATTTAATTTTTATTTTTATTTTTAATTTTAATTTTAATTTTTTATTGTTTTTGTTTCATGTCTGGTTACAATGTTCGGGCACCTCAAACGGGATATAAATGGCTTTCATCTGACGAATACCTCCAAAACATCTATGATATGCCTCCGTTTTGTTCAGCATGTGGTGGAAATCATTATTCCGATCAATGTTGGGGATCACCAACAGCGACGAATTTCGACGAAATTACCAACGGAGATTATTGGAACACTTACACCAACAACACATACGAGCAAAACTTTCAAGACCAAGATTTGAACGAGTTTCAACATAGAGAACCACAATTTGATGATTTTCAAAATTATTATCCAATGCAGCAGCAGCAGCAGACCACTGATGAACAAGTTGATTTGGTATCCCTTATTGGCGAATTCATGAAGTCCACTCAAGCATCATTTCGAAACATGGAGATACAACTGGAAGAGATGACGCTCAAATTAAAATCTGAATCTCTTGAAAATATGCCAGACGAAATCGACAATGGTTATATCAAAGAAAATTCGGGTAAAGCCCGCGGTGAGAAAAATCTTCTATGTCCGGAAAATAGTGTTGATGTGAGAGAAATAGAAATTACGAAGACACTTGAGCATGATGAATCTGAGAAGGCAATCGAGCTAAACCACGAAGATGCCTCAGAACAAGAGAAGAAGGAGATGGATGTAATGATTGAAGATATTCTAGATGTGGACTTTGTCGTTGATCTAAATGTGGATTTGAAGGCATCAATAGTGGTTGATGAGAAGACTACTATTTTTGAGGTGGAGGTTATACGCAGAATGGAGATTTTTGTATACCGATTTGAGGGAGCGGGTGATGAAGATCCCATCTTGGCTTCGTACCGATTGATTACAACCAAAAAAGACTACAAGCTAAGGTGGACCGTGCCATATTGCAGTACTATCCATGCATGCCTTGGTTGTAATTGAAGTGATAGAGTTCATGAATGGATGCGCAATCTACAAGGCTTTGGATTGGACATAACAATTTCAAGAAGCAAAGTCTGGCTGAAGACTTAAAATTTAGCGCTTCTCGGGAGGCAACCCGAGCTTTACTGTGTTTCATATTTTTCTTTAATCTTAAGTGTTATTTTTATTTTCATAGGCATGCATTCTAATTAATTTATTTGATTTCTTATTTTTAAGGTCGGAATTGCGATCGGGACAGTCATCCGAGAGACATAGAGGGCATCTTCGCAAGAGGAAAATCAGATTTCTTTCCCACATATTCTCACACCCCGAAGACAACGATTCCGACTAAATCAGGTGTTTTCTATCCTTAAACTTTGTGTTAATTTCGTTGAGGGCAACGAAAATTTTAAGTTTGGGGGTGAAAAAAACATGTTTTTTTTTTGTGCTTATTTGTTTTAGTTTGCATGCATTAGGTTTGATATATTTTTTTAAAAAAAAAACAAAAAAAAAAAAACAAGTGCTTGAGTCGAATGCATCGATGAGTTATAATGATGAGAGATGATCAATGTTTGATGATGAGATTGCTTGTTTTGTGTGATAAGGATTAGATGTTTGTTTAGCTTTCGATTCAACGGAACTTAGAAACGAATTATTGCTAGGAATCACACTTTGTGCATTGCTTTGGTTGAATGTTTTGTATTTTAAATTTGGAGTTAATTTGTGTTAGATCATGCTATGTTCGGTTTTAGACCTCACCTTAGGAAATTTATGATACGAAGTATTGAGTAGTGAGTGATTTGGGATATGATTTGGGCCTTCTTTGATCCGTTTGAGCCTTTCAAGCCGACCTTTTTATCGAAATTTTCCTTAAAACCTTGATTTGAGCCTCGGAGAAAAGGTGTTTTTTCTTTTATCCAATGTGTATAAGGTAGAATAGATGGAGATTCTTGAAAAATTACCCCTTGGAGTTCGGTTGAAAATTTTTATAAGGTCCTTCTTCTTCTTCCCCGAAAAAAAAAAAAAGAGAGAAAAAAAAGAAGAAGAAAAATATATATGTGTCTATATATATAAAAAAAAAAGAAAAAAAAAAAGAGAAGAAGAAGAGACTAGAAGGGAGAAGTAAGGACTAGTTGTTAAATTGTTTTGAAAGCTCGATCCATTGTCTTAAGAGCAAAAGTGGATACTTTTGAACTCTTAAGAATCGAGTTTATTAAAGTCCTTAGAGGTGACTTCATTGTTTCAAACACTTATATTTCAAATTTCGGCGTAATCACCTCAATTCAAGAAGAATAGCCACATATACCCATATTTTCTACCTCGAACCAAATAGTCTAACAATTGAAAGCCAAAAAGCCCCAACGATCCCAATAGCTTAATGTTCGATATTAGTAGAGTAGAATAATTTGGTGAGTATTTGGAGTCAAACATATGCATGTAAGCATAAAATTTTTCTATCTTTAATTTACAAATATTGGATGCTTGAAGCAATTGCATGATTTGTGGTTTTTGGCTATGGTAAGTGACTAAGTGCTTTTGAATTTTGAGCTTGCGAATGCCTAAGAATTTTCATTATAATTACAAGTTCTGAAAACGTGAAGTTGTTCATTAATCCATGTGATGAGATGCGGTAGTTGAGTTTTTTGCTTACGATTAGATTTTGCTTGAGGACAAGCAAAAGTTCAAGTTTACTTTACGTGGATCTTTTGTTTAGATTTAATTATATTTGTGCTTTAATTGATTGATTTTTGTGTTTTATAGTTGAAAAACGAGAATTATGTGTCCATGAAGGAAAAAAGATCAAAAAGAAAGGAAAAAGTTGCAAATAAGGAAACAAATCAAATTGGAAGAAGGAATCCCGCCACAGCTTTGACAGTGTCCACCATTTCGAGCATATCTCTCTCATACGAACTCCGAATTAGGTGATTTTGACGGCATTGGAAAGCTAATTTCAAGTGCTACAATTCGTATTTACACAACATTCTAAAATTCGGACTCCAACATGGCACAAATCGACGAACAAATCCTGATGGGGGAAAGTGGCGGAAATTGATTCCTATTACGTTTCCACTACTTCCTTATCAAGAAAAGCCTATAAAAGCAACAAGTCTCTACACCATAAGCACGAAATTTTACACGACAAAAACACGAAGAACGAAGATCAACGAAGACTCAAGCATAGTTTTCTTATTTATTTTATTTATTCTATTTTGTTTATCATAAGAATTACGAGTAGCTAAGTTTTTAATCTAGGATTTTGTTGGAACCCTATGTGGGGATGGTGAACCCGTTTTCTTGAGATTATGCAATTATGATTTTATGATTATTTCTTCTACTTGTTATGATTGTTAGTGCATGAACTTGATCAATTTATGTGCTTTATCTGTGATTATTGGGATTGACTCGACAGAGCTATTTTGATAATTAGATGGTAAGTATAAGAACCTTCGAGTAGTTTTCACCGGATGAGTGTGTCAATTGCATGTGGTGTCGTAGACATACAGATATCACCTTAGGTAGCCATTTACGAGACTTGTTAGTTAATGCTTTATTTATAATTGGTTTGCATAGACATATAGTGAACCGTTTATGAATCATAGACTCATATTACACGCGACAGCGGGTTGTGAGTAAATTAGTGTCTCGAGTTAATAATCATGAATCATATATTTCATAATTGAGGGGTTTTGGGTGAGCAATTCTTGCATAGGGGAAGATAAAATCCTAGGTCCGTTTTTATTGATATCTTCTCGTGTTTATTTGCTTTCTTAATTAGTTTAATTGTTTAATAGATTTAATTTGACAAACTTGCGTAGGCTGGATAAAAATCATAGTTGTGAGAATTTGGTACTTAGGATTAGATAATTTGAGTATTTCCTGTGGGATCGACATCCGACTCTCACGAATCCACTTTTACTACTTGTTTGCGATACGTGCACTTGCGTGTTAGGTATTTAGCCCAACAGTTACCAGCGAGTCCAATCCATACAAATGTTTAAATGTTAAGAAGAAAATATAAATATTAATTAAGCAGCTAAATTATACATTAAATCAAAGAGAATCACCAGCTTCTCAAATTGCAGCACAACTTTTGTTACATGCAAAATGAGAATTGCAAGGGTACAAAACACTTCAATCAAGAACATACCCAACTCAAGATATGATTTGCACAAATTCTTATTCTCTCCCACACCCCAACAAACGAAGAAATTAAAATCAATTACATCTTCGAAATGGAAAGAAAATAAAATAGAAATTCACACACTAGTATAAATATATATCATTTTTCCTTCGAGGCTTATAATTATGGTGATTGATCTATATATATATATATATATATATATATATATATATATATATATATACTCATGAGAGAAAGAATCCAAGTCCTCCAAGAAAGTCCAAGCCACCACCTCCAAGAAAATCAATTCCATTATTACCCAACCATGACTGAAAAATATCGGCGCCAACGCCGCCAGGTATGCCGCCGTAATTATTAAGTCCATACATCATTTGCATCAGCTGTTGTACTCCCCTGTCACCAACACCAAGTCCGCCTGAAAGAATCGCATGCGTCATCGCCTGATTGCCTTGAGCCATTTGCTGAAAGGCCTGAAAGAGCATTTGATTATATATTTCAACTGCCGCCACCGAGCCACCGATTGGATAACCGAAAGGTACAACATGAGGGCTCATGTTAGGGTGATAGTAAGGAGGGTGATAATAATTTGGGTGATGAACGAAACTCTGTTGCACAGACGCCGGCTGAGGCTGAGGCTGAGGCACATGAATAGATCTATCACTTGTACCACCGCTGTGATTATTGATCTGTGGCCTGGCACAAGTCAAATGAGCATCAAACCCGCACGGGCCGCACCTGTAAAGCCAGTGGTCCCCACCGATTTTCTTGCACACGTCGCAGGAAAAGTTTTTTGTGTCGTAAGGGGACCCGGAAGTGAGGTCGAGCTTGTGCGGGTGACATGTGGCGTTTGTGACGGACAAGGGCGTGCTTGCGCAAAGTATGTGGAGATCGATTCCGCAGTGTTTGCAACTGTAGGAAAAGCCCTTACCCGGTTCAAAGCAGGCATCGCAGTTGAATACGCCCGTGGAGTAGGCGGGTTTCGGAAGGAGTGTTAGAGTATGCTCCTTGTGGAAAGGGTGGGTTATTTTCATGGGCATTTCGAAACATTTCTTGTGGAGGAAGAAACTGCACACTGTGCAGGTGTAGAAGTTTGTTCCGGAAACGTTCAAATTGCACCCCGCACAAGAAGAAGATATTAGGGTTTGGTCTTGATAATGCTGATGCTGATGGTCGGTGGTGATTAGGGTTAAGGGATGGAGGTGGCTGAAATGAGTAATTGATGGGGTTAGGGTTTCTTTCTGGGGTTCGGAGGTTATTTTTCCCATCTCTCTCAAAAGAACACACACAGAACACACAGTTATGGGGTTAGGAGGAGAAAAGTATTACCAGAAGTGGCTATATATGATCTAACTCATTTAGTTGCGGCAAATAACTGACATTTTGAGTGACATTTAAAGATCTCGGGACGGTTGAAAGAGTTGACTTTTGGAGATATATCATGAAATAGTCAGCATTTTTTTATTTTTGTTTGAGTCGTTTGATTAAAAAATAGGGTTTGCATATCGGTTCTTTCGGTTTATTTGATGTCATACCTAATAAAATACATCGAGTGGTTAGTAATTATTGATTTGTATATATTGTTTATTTGATGTTCCACCTAATAAAATATATCAATTAATTATTAATCGTTGATCTGTATCTAATAACCAATTATTTCTTTGGCTTTTTGTTTAATCAAAGAATTAATTTATCATATAATTGCGAAGTCCACTTGTTGAACTAGTCCCAAGACCCAAATTAATGGAACCTTAAGGGTTTCGCATCACAAAGTTGTATAGTTATAATTTATAAAGACAGATTGGTTTTTGTACAAGGGATCCATCTTAAAAGAACGGCACACCAAGGCTGAGACGGGGTTCGGTCGGTCGATTACCGGCCTAATAATTGATTTATTTGACAAATCAATTTTGCTCAAATTTGAAAATTATTGATGACCCAATCTTTATGGGTCGCTTGATGGTTAGCAATCAAATATTTGGTTCATAAATTGGTCGGTTGATGGGTATATTTGCCGCCCAGTTTACTTACAAAAAATTCAAAATTTGGAGTAAAAGTATGCACATTATGCCTAGTGTTATTACTCCATCATTATTTATCCGTTCAAAATAGTTAATAGCAATTCAGAAAAATAAAAAAATATAATTATGAAATTCGAACCAATTCCAAACATGCACATTTCAAAGTTCTTTTAGAAGATTTATGCCAACATCTTTTCCTTGTTGATTTTTTTTTAAATTTAAAATACTAACTATTTTTATAGTTCCGGTACCCACTTAAAAAACCAAACCATTAATTTTATATTTTTTAAGTAAAATATTATTAATATAGTTGGTTGATCGATAATTATATGTCAATCGATTGTAGATAATATTAAAAATCATCATATTGTAAATGGATTGGTTGAAATGTTCGATCCGATCTAATGAGTCAGTTAAAAAATTACTATCCGCTTCAAAATTTGTCGGTAACGAATCGGTTGTCAGGCAAAAATCAACTCAATTCCAACCCTAACGCCTACATACCACAACTCCTAAGTCGGTTTTATAGAACTTACACCTGATAAAATAGACTGTATAGTTTTACACTATTTATCTACATACACATCCATGTGTAAGCATAGCGATTAATTATTTATGTAGATTTACGGTTTATAGTGTATTTTACTAGATATAAACAACCTACGATATTTCGATGTCAGGGCACTAAAAATAATGGAGAATGGCCTACCAGTCTACCAATGTACTTACTCTATATAAAACAATGTCAACGCACATTTAAATAATTCCCTCAGATGTCCTCATTGTCCCGATTATATATAAAATACAAACTGCAATTTTCATGCTATGTAATAATTATTTCTTTTTTCAATTTTTTTTTATTATAATTATAGGAGAAATAGATTTGGAGAAAAGAGAAAATGATATCTCTTACGTATATTAATCATATATATAGTTATATATAGGAAACCCTAACCTACTACATAAGGTAACTTATTATACAAGTTAACTATAATAAATAAGAATAATAATAGTAGACGTAATATATATATATATATATATATATATATATATATATATATATATATATATATATATATATATATATATATATATATATAATATATACGCTAATACACCCCCGCAGTCGAAACGGGAAAGGAGAGGACGTGGAGACTGGAGACAAACTGTTGGAACAGTTGAGTAGGAAGTCCTTTTGTGAAGATATCGGCAAACTGGTAGGCGGATGGGACGTGAAGAACTCGAACGTGTCCCAAAGCAACTTTGTCTCGGACAAAGTGGATATCGATCTCCACATGTTTCGTACGAGAGTGTTGAATAGGATTGCTGGATAGGTAGACGGCACTGACGTTGTCACAGTAGACAATAGTGGCTTTCGAAAGTGGGCAGAGCAACTCAGAAAGTAGGTTGCGTAACCAAGTCATTTCGGCGACGGCATTTGCGAAAGCTCGATATTCGGCCTTCGCACTCGATCGAGACGTAGTGACCTGCCGTTTGGAGGACCAAGAGATGAGGTTGTTGCCGAGGAAAACACAATAGCCCAATGTCAAACGACGGGTGTCAGGGCAGCCACCCAAATCGGCGTCGGAGTAAGCGATAAGGGAGAGGTCCGGATTGGGGGAGAGCTGAAGGCCGTGATCGAGAGTGCCACGAATGTAACGAAGGATACGCTTGAGAGCAGCCATATGAGGTTCCCTCGGATCATGCATGAACAGACATATTTGTTGCACATCATAACAGATGTCGGGACGAGTAAACGTGAGGTATTGCAGTGCACCGGCAAGGCTGCGATAAAGAGTAGGGTCAGCAACGGGGGGTCCAGTGGTCGAAGACAACTTGCTCTTTGTGTCAGCCGGCGTAAGACAAGGGTTGCAGGAAGCCATGTGTGCACGCTCTAGTATCTCGTCGGCGTACTTGCGTTGAGAGAGAAATAGCCCCTTCGACGAGCGAGTATCTGAGATGCCGAGAAAGTAGTGAAGATCGCCAAGATCATTCATTGTGAACTCTTGATTAAGGGCAGCGATGGTAGCGGAGCAATTCAGGTGTGGAAGCCGTAAGTACAATGTCATCGACATACAGCAGAAGGTAGGCGCATGAACTGTTGCGACAGTCGCGTGAACTGTTGCGACAGTACACAAAGAGTAAAGTGTCGGACTTGCATTCTCTGAACCCCATGGTAGTAATGTGAGATGCAAAACGCTTGTACCAAGCACCTGGTGCCTGCTTGAGACCGTAGAGTGCTTTGTTGAGACGACACACGTGAATGGGGCGAGATGGATCGACGAATCCGGGAGGTTGCTCGCAGTAGACAGTTTCAGAGAGATTGTCATGTAAGAAGGCATTTTTCACATCAAGCTGGTGGATTGGCCATGATCGCGAGAGAGCAATACTGAGAACTGTTCGAACAGTCGCTGGTTTGACAACTAGGCTAAAAGTCTCGTCAAAATCGATGCCAACCTGCTGGTGAAACCCACGAACAACCCACCGTGCTTTGTATCGCTCAAGGGAGCCATCAGACTTGAGTTTCTGTTTGTATATCCACTTACTAGAAATAACATCAGTGAACGGGGGGCGGGGCACAACATTCCAAGTATTGTTTGTAATTAAAGCAGTATATTCCTCAATCATGGCGTTTCGCCAATTTTGGTCAAGAAGATCTTGACGATAGTTGGTGGGAATGGAAGAGGTAGAGGACGCAACGAGAGAGAAAAGGGCTTTGGGTTTGTGGATGCCCACTTTATTGCGAGTCACCATAGGGTGAGCAGGGGGAGGTGGGGGAGTAGGAGAAAGAGATGTGGAAGTAGGAGAAAGGGTTGTGAGTTGGTCGTGGTCGAGAGGTGGTGCTGCAGGAGAGACAGTTGTTGGCTGTGTTATAGGACTATTGGACGAACTGTTGGAACAGGGTGGTTCACTAGTGGATCAGTTGGAGGAACTGTTGCAACAGTTAGACGAAGTCTGAGGGAGGAGGAATAGGGAGGGTGTGTTTTCGTCCAAGGCAGAGGTATGAAGTGTGTCTCTGGGGGGAGTGGACTCAGCAAAAGGAAAGTGAGTTTCGTCGAAGGTAACATGACGAGAAATTATGATTCGGCCAGTGGATCTATCAAGGCAACGATAGCCTTTGTGAGAGGAAGGGTGACCGAGATAGACATAAGGAGTAGAACGGGGGCGAGTTTATGTGGTATGGTGGCGGTGAGGTTGGGATAACAGAGACAGCCGAATACTCGAAGATGAGAGTATGTAGGTTTGATGAGGTAAAGAGCTTCGTGAGGAGTCCGGTTTTGTGTGGTTTTGGTAGGTAAGATATTGAGTAGGTGTGTGGCCATATGAAGGGCTTCGACCCAATAAGTATGAGGAAGATGAGCTTGAAAGATGAGGGATCAAATCATGTTAGTTATAGTGCGGATCATTCGTTCTGCGTGTCCGTTTTGAGGGGAGGTGTGGGGACACCAAAAACGATTTAGGATGCCATGTTTAGTGAAGTAGTTTTGAAAATCCGCATTTTTTAATTCACGACCATTATCACTTTATAAGGCTTTCAGGGGATGTTGGAATTGAGTTTTGAGAAGTGTATGAAAATTGACAAAGGTTGTAAAAACGTCAGATTTATTTCGAAGAGGAAAAGTCCATAAATAATGGGTACAATCATCAACTAACACAAGATAATATTTGAAACCCGTAAGACTAGAAACAGGAGAAGTCCATAAATCAGCATGAATAATTTGAAATGGAGCAACAGTAGTAGATTTTTTAGAAAAAAATGGTAGACGAAAATATTTGCCTAATTGACAGGCATTACAAAGAGACTCCCTAGGGTCTTTATTATGGGAAATAAAAGTGCTAGAAAATAAACGAGACATGACGTGTTTGCCGGGATGTCCATGAACCACTGTGATTCGGTAGGCTGCTGAAGTGTCACCGTATTAAAACGGTTTGCGAGATCCACCACGTTGACACTGTTGCAGGAACTGTTACAACTGTTGATGGAACTGTTAGAGTTGTGGCATGGTTGCTGCTGCGGATGAACTTGAGTAGGAGCCGAGTGGCCGCTGTAGAGTTCAGGTGGTCCAGTAAAGTAGGCTTGAGCCGCTGAAGTGGATGGGTGGCCCGATGTATTTGGAGCGGATCCCAGAATTGACTGTTGTCGGTAAGGTGCGCGCCAGAGTTGAGATGCGCCATGAGCACTATGGTAGCCGTAGTGCTGCATGGGTTGACGGTTAGTGCTGCGACCTCCGCGACGGTTGGATCGA